AAAGAATGGAATAAAAAAGACATAACATGATGTGTTGTGACACATTTGGGAGGTTGATCCTTTATATTTTTTTGTCCACATACAGTAAACTCAAATTGAACCTCGCAGTTGGTAAGACATAATTTCATTGAATAAAACAATCTACTAAGTAGGAAGAGCAGCAGGAGGGATATAAAGGAAATACAGGAGGTGTCACTTTCAGTAAGAGTCACACAATCAGCAGCAATGAGACTGCTTAATACCTCTCAGTCTGCCATCAGTGACTCACACTAGCCTCAGTGTCTGCCTGGCACACATGACACACAAATGCCCTTGCTTTTTGGGCAAGGTTGCCCTCCATCCCACCAGCGGTACAGACCATCCGAATGCATGTTACATGAAAACAGCAAGTGACACAAGAAAAATAGCAAAGACTGAATCCTTTTTACAGAATAAAGGAGTTTGTAATGAGGAAGTCAAATAGTATCCAGTATAGAGAGTGAGAAGCATGCTCTTTAAATATAGCAAATGTGTTGGTAGCATGGAATTTGCCATTTGCAGACACAGCACTGTAAGATCCAGGTAGAGTTAGATTTGGAAAAGCCTTTGGGTGATGGAGACAATCAGGCAAAGCACAGAGCAAAAGAGGTCAGAGGAGGATGAGGGCTTTTCCTGCATAATGAATCATGAGGCAGCATCTTCGTCAAATTTTGTGCTGCCTCCGACAGATCTTAAACTATATGGCCCATGTAATCAGTTCTTAATCAATGCATCTGACTAGATAAAGTGATAATGCAAAACTAGAAAGGTGATGAAGACTATTGAATATCTGCAAATTTTTGGAAGGCAGAATCATATTTACAAGTTCGGTGACGTTTTATCAGCTCTTCCATGAGGTGTTTTGTCTATTTCAAGTGTCATTTTGATCCCTTTTAATGTGCAACCCAGGCTCATTCTGAAAACATACTGCTATATACATCTCTGGAAAGTGTCAAATATGTACCAGAAGGTATATTTTTTTTGCAGTTTTTGTTTTCGTGAATCCACCAGAGGGCGCTGTACACACTTTGAGATCTCAGATTTCTCTAGCGAGTGCCATTTGTGCCTGCTCTGCTTGCGTAAATCCACTAGAGGACGCTGTCGACTGACTGACTGACTGACTGACCCACCGTCCTTCTTCCCTAAACCCAACCAATAATGTTTTCAAAAGCAATCCAGAAAAAGAAAAGCCCTCGTCTCATTTTTAACAAAGCGAGCTACTGGGCAAACTGGTAATACTTGGAACGCATGAAAAGCAACCGCATCATTCCACCTCAAAATGTTCATTTTAAAGATGAAATTGGGCCATACGTACTTCTGGCTCCAAAATTCGTTATCTTCAGAAACTGCTTGAAACTGCAGAAACTGAAGCTGCTTCAGGAACATCCAGACTGCCGATGAAACAAACAATCTGACATGTTTAAATTTAGCACATCTCATGTAATCGCTCAATCACTGTTGACTGCAAACTAGTAAACAGCTTGTAAATACTGAAACATTACTTTTACCTCAAAAAAGCCATTTAATGGTCATGAGCTCTTTTGTTAAGTGTAGAAGAACATTTTGCTAAGTACTGATTTAATTAATTCCATTAAAAAAATTAATATTAAAATTTTACAGATTTATTTTTTTTATAAGTTTTATTCTGTTTTGTTGATATATTTTCTGTTGGAATGTAAAAATGTCAAATAATTTTTTTTAAAAGCAAGGCAAAATAGTGGAAATCATGATGAAAAAGTTGCATAACATAAAAAAAAAACAGTTTGGTATTCAGCCTTCAGCAAAGTGCTTTACTATTTGTTTGGCTTTGGCAAAGAATTTTCATTTAGTGCACCTCTACAACAAAATAAATACTAACAATAGGGTTAAACGGCATTTCCCAAAGTTTTGTGGGTCAAATACCCCTTTAGCGACATAAATATGCACTATACTTTACTACAAAAGCTATTTAAATAGGTATTTCTTCAACTATGGCTACTTTAATCCAGTAAATTATTAAAAGAAAATTCAAAGTAGTTTCTTTTTTTTTTACAGACATCCTCTGACTACACACCCCCAGCCTATGTGCATATAATATTTATGGATTTTCATAAATCCAAAGTCTGAGACAAGAATAAAAAGCAGCATTTACAAAGTAACAAAAAATAAAAGCATAATGAAAAAAGAGAAAGTTTCAAAGTAATAATTATCTCCAAAAAATAAAAAATAAAAAATCATCCACTGGGACATAAAATTGCCTGTAGTTGAAGAAACACCATAATAGCATTACAGAAAATCACTTTGCAGAAATCTTTGTTACAAATAGAAGACTAAGCCAATAAAACACGGGTAATGTTATTATATTATTTCATTACTGCAGATTTGTATTGAGTTTACATTTACAGTGTGCATTTTCTGAGCGGTTATATGCAGATTGAGAAATATAGAATTCAAGCCTGTTATTTTACAAATGGATTTACTTTTATTTAGTGTATGTAATTGCTTGGAAAGAACATGAAGCACTATATTATTGTGAAGAGAGAAGTGTAAGTGAGGCAAGTTAAGAGCACTGCAGCAAAAATCAACATCTATCCAATGACTTTATAGACTAAATGTGCCCATATCCCATTATAAGTGCCATTTGCACTAATTGACACAATTTGCAAACTACTGTGCTTTCTTAAATAAAAAGAATCGAGGAAGGGGTGGTCTTTCTAAAATATTACCTTGATTCCTTTCTATAAATCTTCACACATAATCCTAGGACGAATACGACATCATTCCACAATAAGTTCTGACGTTTTGAAATCAGTTCCCAAACGCACATTAATTGATTGTGACTGCAAGCGCAACACCACAGGTCAAACGCGTTAAAGCATCAGCTTCAATTAGCAAGGCGACCGCTGATCTGAAGCAATATTCTCATTCCCTCGTATTATTCCAAAGCAGACGGCAAATATGTACAAACAAACAGAACGCCCGATTTAAGCTGACAGCCTTTGAATGACAAGTGCACATGCATAGTTCAGATTTTTTACTGCTAGGAGCATCGCATCATATTACGTGGAAATGAAGCCAAACAATCAACCATATCCCACAATGCCGTATTTGCACTTCAAAGACAAACTATTCAACAAAACGAAACTGAGTCTCTGGTTACCAGAACCGCAGAGGGAAAACATTCAGAGTTAAATCTGACAAGACACAAACATTCGACGGCTGCTGCTGCTGCTTTCAGCGTCTATTCCAGCATTGTCATTCATATCCACACCTCTCTCCCTTCAAAAAAAAAAAAGCCACTTGTCACTCCATAAAGAATACGCAGAGGGATAAAGCAGTGTATTCAATTCATAAATATCCCTTTAAGAGGGCCACGTCAGTGATTTGTCACTAGGGACTTTTGGCAGAGCCGAAATTGATGTAAAGGTGACATGTGAGTTATGTATGTGGCTGTGGCAGCCGTTTTGATATTACTGAGCGAGGCAGGAAAGCTCAAAAAGCCCACCAGAGTGCTCCTCATCCCTCTCTTTACCTACCTGCAGGAGAGAAAGTCGTTAATTTGAAGGAAAGAGTTTTAAAGAAAAGGCTTGGCATGCACACACAATGTTCCTTTGTCTCCTTCTCTCTGATGATGCCTGTCACTTAATGTGTGAAACCCGCGCGTGCTTCAATGGGATCAATTGTAATAAAACTGCATCGCCTTCACTGAGCTATGAGTTTATGAATCTCCTTAGAGAAAGTCAGTCATTTAAAATCCCTCTAGCTTACGGCAGCGAAACAATGTTTAGTTTCAATCTCCCCGCAGCCTCCGCGTAGAGAGGAGCCACGCCGCGCAACAGACTGAACACGAACAACAAATAAAATGCGAAAAATCAAGCAAGTCACCGTCTCATTTCCATTAAATGATAAAGTAGCAGCGCTGAAAAGAAATGAACTAATTTAAAACGGCTGGCCTATAGGTCAAGGACGGCAGGAGCAAACGGTCTCTGATTTTTTTCCTACCGCAGTCATACAAATAAAAACATTTTACATTTTCATTTTCAATAGCAGAATCTAAGAGGCTTGTTATCTTTTCTTATTTGTTTGATGCATTGTGTCTGAAATGCCTTCAGGCTGGGATAAACGTACTTAAAGCACATTTTCATATGTAGATTATTAGGTATACGGCTTTGTTAGATAGCGGGGCTCCTGAGTGATCTGAAATAGCATGTCACCGTCTACTGAAAGTCAATAAACAACCGAATCTCGCTTTATTATAATCCTCAAATATATTTTTTTTACTCCCTTCCCCTGGGAAAATTTTCTAAAATGTTACAATTGTTGACAAAAAGCTTTGCACGACTACAGACAGACTGAGCCAAGCTTAACGGAAATGAAGAAAGTTAAAGAAAATACGGTCTGAATCAGCACTGTAGCATCAATCTGCAAGATTTCTCTCATCACACTAGATAAAAATATATAAATAATGAATTCATCACATTGCGTCTATATTTCCAGGGAATTAAAACATCTGTGAACAGAAGTGATGCTGGAACAGATGGCCAAAAATGATATATATGAAGTTATAACTTACTAACTTCTGGGCAATTCACCACCCCCCAAAAAAGCAACAGAATATGGGCTAAAATATTGAAAGCCAAAACATAAATGTTTTACGAGCACATTATAAACTATTGCAAATTTATATTTGCGCGATTGAAAAAATTAGATCCTTGTATATACAGAAAGCTTTATGAACCTGCTGTTAAAACACTCAATCCACTTTCAGCGAGTGCAAATCCTTTGCTAGCACAGCACAGAGAGCAGGCAACTTCCTTCTGCCACAAAAATAAGGCAATCCCGCAGTTGCTGTTAATATCTGAACTGACTGCAGAATCCCTAGAGAGGTTTCTATTAACACATTGTGTCCGTTTCACTGCTTAAAATAAACGAGGTTTTATCTCTATAAAGTCAGCAGGAGTTAAAAAAAGACAGCAGCAGATGGCGGAGAGAGGTGACCTTACCTCATTGGTGTTCCACCTGTGTCTCTCCTTTGGCAACGTGGAGCATTTTGGTAGACATTCAAGCAGCTTTTTGGGCAGGTATATTTTCAAATGTCCATGTTCATCTGCAAGACAACAAAAAGAGCATGTAATGAGGATAAAAAGAGAGATACATGCATTTCTTTACTTAATCAATGCCCATGATGTATTATTGCATGATAATATATATAGTTTAGTGAATGAATAGATTAACTAATTAGCCTTCCTGTAATTTTTTTTCTTTTTTAATTATTTCCTAAATGATGAGCAAGGAATTTTTCCACAGTATTTATTCAGGAGAAAGTCTTATTTGTTTTATTTCGACTAGAATAAACGGTAGTGTTGTAACTGATCACACTACAGTTTCACAGATCGGACCATTTTTCGAATCAGCAAAAAAGCGAGGAGAGAAATTTAATTTGCTTTCCATTTATACAAAAATATTACTGCAAAAACCACTGGTTTTAACAAACAGAACTTAGAATCTGTCATTTAATTAAAATTTTGAATCAAGAAAGAACAAGCTGAAAGAAGGGAAAATATTCAAAACGATATATGATCTTTGCTACTGTTGCTGATAATGCTAAATATAGAAATCTAACATCTTGTACAACATAACATATATTTATTTTCAATTAATGATTCAAATCACACATAAAAGGTCATGTTTGATTATAGGTGTATCATTTTTGAAGACCTATTCAATTACATAATTTGGATGGTCGCCACCTATTGGCTAAACAATGTAATTGCTAAAATATTGACCAGCATCAAAGTTCCATTAAACATTGATTTTAAGCTTTATCATAAACATCAGTGTTTATATCTGAACTATAAACTGTACTGCCAGTACTTCTGTTATTTAAATGTTTGTAACTAACTGAAAGTGTAAAAACTGAGTCTCTCTCGATCAAATGCAAATTAGATTGAAGCGCTTCGAATTAATAAACATACCCAAATCTTTATCATTTATGTTGTGTGGGTTTGAATTGAGATCCCGATCTTTTAATGTTTAATTTAGTAGCTTTACACTGAATGCATTAACATAGGCTAAACAACCAGTGACAGAAAACACCTTAAGAAAGCATTTAGATGGGTCCTACCACAACTTTTTCTGTCATCTTTATATTTTACAGGAAAGCCAAAATGCTCTCATACACATGATTTGAATGATGTGGTAGGCGATCTCTCTGCAATTGTTATAAATGTTGGATTAACCTACAAGTTAAAAAAAGTTATTCATCCGCAGGTCACGTGCGTTCCGAACTGTAGGCTGTGATCCGTACGAATCACGGATCACCAGCGATATGTTACACCTAGGGTTGTAACGGTATGAATTTTTCACGGTATGATAATCGTCTAAAACAATACCACGGTTTGACGGTTTCGCGGTATACGGTATGTTACAAATGTTACAAAATAATAGAACAGTGAAGCAAATTTGACTTTTTCCAGATAATATATTTTTAGTTACTATAAACAACACCACTTACAATGAACAAATAAAAATAAGAAAATAATAAATAATGTGTCAAAGTCCAAATAAACATGGTGCAAATCCTCAGTAAAAAATAGATATAAATATTTACTATACTATAAATAGTTACATAACGAAACTAGATTCAATATGGAACATACCTAGGTTTTATGTGCCAGCATGGATATGGTTGTCTATGGATATGGATATGGTTGTCTGCAATGCAGACAAACAGCTGCACCTTCATTTGCGTCTTTTTAAAACAGCAAGAGCAGCAGTTCGTCTTTGCTATGTCACTATTTTGTCATGTTTCTGTGCTGCTGTGCATGAAAAAGTACTTAGTATGAGAATTATTTCATGCAAAACTTTTTTTTGCGTTTTATTTAGCCGCGCAAAAATGTATGCCTTTCTCTCATTCCGTGTTGTTCAAAAAGCTTGGTCCACAAACAAAAGCGAAACCTATGCTTATTGGTTGTGATATAGCGAGTTTGAACCAATCTGGGCATGGAGGAGGGACAATGCATCAATGTATCATGTCTGGTTTGTCCGGAGACACAGTGACGAGCGTTTCTTTGTCAAATCAGCGTTGTCAAATGTTGATGACGTAACCGCATTGATTCCGGAGCCTCTGAAAGTCCGCGAATGTTATGTGATACAGCACTGGAAAGCTGAGATTCTCTTCTTTATGCCAATCTTTGAATTGTATGAATTGGATCAGCGGATCAAAAGTTATTAAACATTTAAGAGCAATACTTATTTTTAGCCGCGGGCGGCTGTCTCGGTCTTTAAGGGTTAAAACCGTTGATATGCAATTGTTCATGGTATGATAATCGTGCACGTTCAAATCGTGGTAAACCGTCATACCGGTATATTGTTACAACCCTAGTTACACCCATAATAAACGCATTTAAAAAATTATTTTAAGGTCAATATTATTAGCCCTCTGATGTATTTTTTTCCAATTGTCTACAGAACAAACCATCGTTATACAATGACTTGCCTAATTACCCTAACTTGCCTAGTTAACCTAATTAGCCTACTTACGATTTAATGTTGAAAAACATCTAGTTAAATATTATGTACTGTCATCATGGCAAAAAAAAAAAATGTTAGTTATTGGAAATTATTTATTAAAATTTTCATGTTTAAAAAACGTGCAGAAAAAAAATCTTCTTTGCGTTAAACAAAAATTGGGGAAAAATATGCAGTGGGGCTAATAATGCAGGAACACTAATTATTCTGACTTCAACTGTATATGGTTTAATATTAGATTATCCTCGGCAGTTCTTCAACAATCTTCATACACAGCACATAACAGGGATCATTAATTAATGGGTACCAATTATTCTCACTGCAAAGAGCGACTAATGAGCAACTCGCAGAATGAGAAGGTAAAAATGTTAGATGAATGAAAATGTGAATTAATGGGCCTGGCGTACTGCGAGGAAAAAGGTGAAAAATGAAATTGTGACATATTGTGATGAGAACCATCAGACTTGAGCAGTGGCGTAGCGCAAAATGCAGAGGCCCCCCTGCAGGGATCGCTGACGGGGCCCCCTGATGAAGGGGGGGGGGGGGATACGTCATACGTCAATTTGCATATCACTGACGTCATCACGTTCTACCGTTTCTGTTTAACAGCCTATGGTTAATAAAGGGGTATTTATAATTGCACTACACTTTATATAAGCATGTTTATTTAACTAAATTTATTGCTGTTTGAATACAGTATATCATAACAGATGTGTAACGTTAGTGAATGTGCAGTAATCTCTCATATGAAATAAACTCAGACAAGTTCAGAAACTGTCACTAAAATATCTGTGATTGTGAACAAGAAAAGAATAAACGGTCCAATTAAATTGTTAAAATAAAATAGAAGTAGATCGGTTTGACTGTACAAGGGAAAAACCTTCACACTGCCTGTGCTAAATTATTTGTCGTCGGTACGCAGAGGGGTGATCTGCTCTCGGGCTGCAGGTGGGAGAGGCTGCTGTAGAGGACTGACTGGGCCGCCTGTCAGTGCTGTGAGGCGGGGGAGGGGCCGGCGGCATCACACGCAGCTCGTTGAGAAGAGTAGGGACGGTACAGTATGGAAAAATGACAGTCTAAAAAAATCTCCAATAACACACAAAAAAGTCGCTAGGGGGGTCTGAAAAGTCGCTAAGTTGGGAACATTGGCGGCAAGCAATCAGAATGAAGTAGTCCACCGCTTGAGAGGTGTTCAGAGAACACAGACGTGTGAACTTTGGTTCCGACCACAGTTGTTCCCAACAGTTTATTGAAAATCGCGACGACGCGGGGCCCCCCAATCACGCGTGGCCCCCCCGCGGTGCGTGCCCTGCGGGCCCGTCCGCTACGCCACTGGACTTGAGGTATTTCGGCAGTGGACGTCCACTCTCAAGGGCTTAAGGGGAACTGATGCTAAGCTTTATTAAGACTTTAACTACCCAATAAAGTACACAGCCACCCTGATCCTGACTGCTCCAAAGAACAGTAAAAAGCACAAATGCTGGCTAAAGATAAAAGGGAAAAAAAGGGAATACAATTTGTTCTGGGGCAATTAAGGCAGGGTCATATATCAGGCTTTCTTCCATTCTTACCTTGTCTGTCTCTCGCTTTCCATTCCTAGGGGCTTGGCAGGCCAGTCAAATCACTGCCATTTAACTTTCATTGTTAAGTGAAAGTTCACTTTCAGGGTGGAATTTCTAAATTACAATGAAATTGTCTACAACTGTAAATTGAGTTCAATTATTAATCGCCTTACGACCAACTGCTGATTATACTTTCGTTTGTCTGTCACCTGCAACCACATGACATTTACATTCCATACCACTAAACCCCTGTAAGATATTAGTCGTATGGATGAATCAGAAAATAAAAGGTTTGACTATGGATGAGTAGGGGGCAGCACGGAGGCTCAGTGGTTAGCACTGTCGCTTCACAGCACGAAGGTCACTGGATCAAGACCCCACTGGGCCAGTTGGCATTTCTGAGTAGAGTTAGCATCCCTGTGTTCGCATGGGTTTCCTCTGGGTGCTTCGGTTTCCCCCACAGTCTAAAGTAGGGCTGCATGACAAATCTGGACAAATCTGACACTGCAATATTTTATTTTGCTGCAATTTATATTGCGATATGAAAACAATTTCAGCTTGAATAGCTCTATTTGGAATGAAATCATTAGCTTTAATTGGAATAATCTTGTAGAGGAGTGAATCAAAGAAATTGCAAGAATAAAAAAATAAGATAGAGGAAAGATAAAAGTCAAGTAAGTAGTCAGATACAGTATTACTATACGATACTAGGGCTGGGCGATAAAATCGTCATCGATATTTATTGACCAAACAACCATTGTCAATATAAAAAAAAATAAGATTTGGTATGTATTTTCGGTATGAAACGCTATACTTTTATTAAAATGTGGCCGCTGAGAGTACCTTAAAGGCAGTAACAATAAGCTTAGGGTGTAAGTTTTTCATTTCCAATGGAGGCGAACGACTTGCACGACAAGCATATGGGAGCGACACACATGTTGCAGCCGCACCTAGCTAAAATTTTTTTTTTACTTTTCTGAATTCAAACGAGCGCACCGCAATTTATGCAAGTACA